CGGTTAAGATTTAGTGTCTATTTCAATGTCATTGACATAAAAATAGTTCAAATTTTTTGTATGTTTGTTTGTTCCCCATCAACTAAAAAAAAACTATTTTAAACTATATTTCTTTGGCAATATAAATAAAGTCATCATAATTGCTATGCTAATTACTGTTTATTTTTTACGTCATCAGTAAGTTTTTTGTTTACGTCATTAGTAAGTTGACTGATTTATCAGATCTCCTTCAACATGTTTAATTACCGATAACATAACGCTAAATAATCCCTCCTCAAACTCTTCAATTTTAACGCGACAGATTAACGAAGCTCCTTTACTGTTTTTTAATATATATTAATAATACAAATGCAGATGATATGAAATTTTTTTTTTAACTCAAACATAAAAACAATATTTTCTACAGTTAATCTCGAGCTGCAAAACTTAAACGAGTGGTTTAAAGCTGATAAACTTTCCTTAAACATCCTCAAAAGCAATTATGTTTTATTTCACAAATCTTCTAACTCTGTTAATTTACCCCTTCAGCTTCCCCAGCTTAAGATCAATAGCATTAATATAGAAAGAGACCACTGGAAATAATTTTTCAAGAAAATCTTAATTGGAAGAATCATATTTTGCACATTGAAAATAAAATTTTTAAGTCAATTGGCATCATGCATAAAATAAACACCTTCTAGATAAAACTTGCTTAAAAAATATATATTATTTGTTTATTCACAGTTATATCAATTATTGCAATATCGTTTGGGCAAGCACATACTCTTTAGTACTAAAAAAGATATATGTAAAAATAAATTAATGTTTATTGTTTGTAAAATATATAGTGACAAAATTTAAATAAATTATTAAAAAAAAATGATCTTCCAAAAGCATCAAACAAACTTGATGTCATAATGTTTTGGATGATACTTATTTATTTTATTCATCCCCTTCAATTACAGAACTTTTTAAAAGAACAAATATTGAACTTGAAAAATTGAACTGGTTAAAATTTAATAAATCATCTATAAATAGAGAAAAAACCAACTACATCTTGTTCTATCCCAATCAAAAAAGGAAAAAACTACCAAATATATTGCAATTGCTAAAAATAGAAAACAATAATATCGAAATAACTACAACAACTAAATTTCTAGGTTTACTTATGGATGAAAATATTTCATGGAAAGCACATATTGATTATTTAAATACTAAAATAACCCAAACCATTGGCATGCTATACAGAGCTAGACCAATGTTATCCCAAGAACATCTAAAACATCTTTATTTCTCATTTATACATCGCTATTATACATATGGTAATATAGCATGGGCAAGTACCCATAAATCTAATTTGAAATTACTTTATCAACATCAAAAACATGTTGTTAGAATTGCCTATAAAATAGATAAACTCACTCATGCTGAACCTTTGTAAAAACTCTTTAATGCACTAAACGTCTATAGAATTAACATTTACCAAAACTTACTTTTCATGCTAAAATATAAACTCGGGCTTGTCCCATCACATTTCTTAAATAAATTCTTTAAAAGCAATAGAAATAGATATGACACTAGAGAAATAGGAAAACTTAATATAACATTCAGAAAAACAAAACTATCGCGTTTCACAATTTCATATTGCGGTTCCTATCTCTATAATAAACTGATATTTAAAAATGTCATAATTACAAAATTAGATAACATAAACTGTTTAAAATTCTTACTAAAAAAATTCGTTCTAAATATAAACACTTATTTGAACTTACAAGATACTAAAACTGACTAGAACCAAAATTAGCGTTAAAAACAAAATCCAAAAAAACTTCAATAATATATATTAATATTAAAAAATCAATATAAATCAATAATAATTATATTTATGCCTAATAATATATTTATGTGTATTATGTGTACTACAAACAGCTTTTATCGTTTGTTTTTTTTTTTTTTTTAATTTAAATATATGTGAATCCAATATAAAATAAAGTATTTTGTGAAACTAGAAACATTGTAAAACGAAAATACAAAAAATATTACAAGTACAAGCGGTTTCTTGATGAAAAGACCATCTGGTCTTTTGCAAGTTTCCCGCGTTCTTTTAACATTAATGATACCCTGCACTCATACTTTCTGTATTCTATAAAAATGTGATATTTAATGTTATATATTTTAAAAACATTATAACATTGTACTAGTTATGTAGAATTAAAACATTGTAAAGATAAAAGAACAAAAAAGAAGAAAGGAAAAATTAAATAAAAACTCCCTATTGTATTTTCAAACTCTTTTATTAGAAAATATCTTAAATAATTTAAATTTTATTTTACAATCCCATGAATCAATCATGGATATGAACTATTTTTATAACAATTCTATAAACAGTATGACATTTCTTGTCAAAAAAATAACAATAAAATCTAGGTCTTTTTTAAACCCCTGGATAGCCAAGGGGCTTATAAAATCATCAAAGAAAAAAAAAAAACTTTCTGAAAAATTTTTAAGCCATAAAGCATATAAAAATGAAATAAAATACAAAAACTATAAAAACTTATTTGAAAAAATAAAATACACTCGAAAAAAATTTGTTATGCAAAGTTGTTGGAATAAACCAACGGCGACACTAAAAAAACGTGAAATACAATTAAACAAATAATAATTAAAAATAAATGCAAAAATTTCTCCCTCAAAAACTTTTAATTGACGTGGCGATAATTGATAATAAAAAAAAAAAACTGATAAACTAAACTCATTTTTTATCGAGGTTGGGCCGAACTTGCCAAGTAAAACTCCGCCAAGTACCATAAATTTTGTATCTTATATTTAATCGTGTAATTTTATCATGGAAGAACCGAATTTAAATCTAAGCGAGATTAGAATTTATATTAATACTCTTAAAAGTAAAAAAAGTGCAGACATTAATAAAATTAACGTGAATGTTTTTAAGTCAGTCTTCATTATTATTAAACCGTCATTATTTCATATTTTTGACCATTCATTAAAACAAGGTGTTGTGCCAACAAAAACTTAAAGTTGCCATTATTACTATAATTTTTACATTGGGTGACAAAACTATTTCAAACTACAGACCTATTTCCGTCTTACCTTGCCTCACAAAACTATTGCAACGAATTATGTACAACATATTTTATAATTATTTGATGTTAAACAGTTTGCTGTACAGTAAACAATTTGGATTTAAAAAAAATAACTCAACTAACCATGCGGTAATCGAATTGATTAACCTTATTTCAGATACATTCAATAATGACTATTTTACTTTGCGAGTTTTTATTGATCTGTCAGAGGCCTTTGACATTATTAACCATAAGATATAAAAAAAACTAGAACTTTATGGAGTGAAAATTACCCGGCAAACAGGTCACAATATATTATTTATAAAAAAAATGAAAACGAAAAACACATTATATGTAGTGTGCCTTAAGGTTCAATCTTATGAGAACTATTATTTTTATTTATATAAATGATTTATACTTTGCATCAAATATTTTAAATGTTATATTGTGTCCAGATGACTCGAATCTTTTTGATTCCAACAAAGACATAAAAGTTCTATTTAATATATTTAATGAAGAACTGTTAAAAATTAAAGAGCGGTTTTCAAGTAATAGACTTGCTTTAAATTTTAAAAAAAAAAATTATTTTATTCTCCAAACCTTGTAAAAGTGACAATATTCCTTTAAAATTAAATAATCTCCTAATCAATAAAATATGGATTAAAAAGGAATCAACCATTATTTTTCGAGGAGTAATACTAGACGAATGTTTGTCATATAAAATATATAGAAAATAAAATCTAAAAAGATATTTCCATATTATATAAAACTAAATCATTTCTTGACACTGCTTCTTTAAAAAATATATACTTTTCATTTATTCATTGTGCTATCTCATACTGTCAAATCGTATGGGGTAGTACTAACTATGGTAAATTAAAAAAATTCATAGTAAGTAAAAACACGCATGCAGAATTGTGTTTGGTGCACACAGAACTATTTATTGCGAACCTCTTTTAAACTTAATATACACCAAGTTCTACAATTCATGTTTAAAACAAAACATGGACTCTTTCCTATTTTATTTCAATCTTACTGTAGTGAAACTTCGCACAAGTATTGTACTAAATTATCAATTAATAACTTTGTTTTTTTAAAAACTAAACTAAAACTAAGTTCTAACCAAATCCAATACCGTGGACCGTTTTTATAAAAATAAATTTTATAGTTTATTTCAAAAAATAATAATGAAAACAAACTGATAGATGAACATTTTGAACAGCAGCAGTTCTTTTATACTAATGGAAAATTGTTGTAAAATCTTTTAAAACAAAAATATTAACATCGATGTAATAAGTATATATTGAGTTTTCCAAGATTCCAAGATGATTTAAAAACTATTTATTTTGTATGTTGATGTTTTATACACTCACTTTTGCAATGCGCAAAAATTCATTAACATACTGTACTTTTTTAGTTTTTCTTTCAGTACTTTGAATTACCATTACATTTTACTTTTACTCTATTACTTTCAGAGCTAGTATGTTTACTTTTTAATTGATTATTTTTAAAATTTAACAACCCCAATTCTGATTAAATTTATTATCATTATTCATAATAGGCGATGAAGATTTAATTAAGAACTAGCTGTTTTAATAATAAAACTTTAGAGGAAGTTAGCTGCTTAAAAGGTTTCAATTTTGTTTTAGTTTAGAAAAAGAAAAACACTTTATTTTATAGAATAATCCTCTTATTTTCCAAATAATCTTTATTTTCTTCTAAATTTTTCCATTATTTCATTTTCTAAATTAAAAATTTCTTTATTGAAAACAACTTTGCTTAAAGTATTTTCCATTTCCATCTTTGTAGTAAGTTAAGATGTAATGTAGCCATTTTAAACTTATTTGCAATATAAATATATATCTCCATTAAATAATAGCTTTTCTAATTTATCGATAAAATCTTCTCTGAAAACATATATATATGAACATAAATCATACAATGTTGGAAGAGCAAGAAAATGTTGGAAGAGCAAAAAGTATTATGATTATTTAAATTGTTTTTATCTTGATTCTTGCTTGCATACGCGGTTCCTTTTCCTTGTTTGACAGATGCTTATCATTGTGTTTATTTATAGCTAATTTGTGTTCTTCATGATTAAATAATCTACCTCCTACATTAGGTGGTTCTGTTGATTTGTTTGTTGTTAATTTTGTTTTAATCATTTTAGAGTTGTATTTAGCGTACTGGAAACGTAATTAGTTTCACGTTTTTAGAGTTGGCATCTTTTTTTTTCAAAACGCTTGAACTTTTTCTCCTGCAAGGTCAAATGTTCTTTTTGAAACGTAGGCTTTGCTTCGGTGCGTAGCATTTATTACCCACTTAGTTTTTAATTGACTGTTGTACAGTTTGAAACTGATGTTCAGTTTGAAACTTTTTCTAATTTTTTAGAAGCATTTGCATCATATAATTCCTGGATGGCTGTAGAATTTTCTTGGGATAAAGTTTTGATGATTCGTCTATAAGCCTTGATTGCTCAACTTAAGCCTCACTTCAACTTTCTTACTATTTTTATGTAACTAGAAATGCTTACTTTTTTTCTAATGACTTTTTTTAGCTTTAATAATAAACTTGATTAATACTTTAATTAGTGAGCAAAGATTTATTTTTTATATCTAAAAAATCAAAATAAACTACATTAATTCATAAATTATACAATTTTATTAATTAAGAAACACGAGATTGTGACATTTAGCTGGTGATTGAGTTGTTTTAGTAAAACGATAACTTGGTGCTTGCTTAAAAAAAAAGCAAAAATTTTTTTTTCAACAAAAAAGATGTTTTTAAAATATCTGAACTGCTTTTCAGATTTGCTTAAATTATTAACAGCAACAATACATTAAAAAATTACGGAAAACTTCAACAGGTAAAATGCAAAAATAAACTGTTGAAATAGAGTTAAGGATTACATACATCAACAAATTTAATGAAAACATTCAAAGAATGATTCAAAAAACTTTTATTACACGTTTATCACAACATACTCTAAAGTTCTGGTTTTTATATCAAAATTGTGTTTAGCAATAAGGTTTTGTTTTCATCTATAATTTTTGGTCAAAAAAATGGGGAATGGTAGGAAAAGGAGAGGTACAAAAAAAAAAGTTTAGGGGCCAGAGTAAAGTTTTGCGGAGGAGCTCTTTTTTTGTCACTAAGCTATTGAGCTTAACCAAAAAATCTTAGCCTTCAATAACAAACTCTTTTTTACAATGAGAATTTAGGTTCACTGCAAGCTTAAGTCTAAACATTAAGTTTAATTTATTTATGGGCAAATCAACGCTCAAGTAATTTATTTTGATAAAATGAATAAATAAACTCAACAAAAACAAAGTAATTGTTGGATTGACATATGTTTGAAAATTTTAAGCTTTGTTTAATAATGTTATTTGTGTTGTTTATTTGTAATAAACTTCAAATTAAAGTCATGCGTCATACTTTCTATATAAATGGTAGCTAAATTACATTTTGCTATAAGCGTAATATTGTCCTCGTAAATAACGATAACTAATTTGATTTAAGAAATATAAATAAATAGCTAACATAATCTTTCTTTTACACAAAATAATGATTGCCAAATATAATTTAAGAGGAAATATTTAACCTACATAAAAAAAATTTATGTAGGTTAAATATTTGGCTAGAAATATTCAACTGAAAACAACAGGTTTAATCCAATACTTTTTTGCGTCCGGTAACTAACGCAGCATATCAACAACTATAATTCCAATGCTTGTAATAACTGAACGAAATTTTAATATACAGGAAAACAAATAAATATATAAACCTCTAATCTGTTAAAATAAAATATATATATCTAAAAAAGTGACATTACAAAAATCAAAATTTCAATAAGTATTAACTCGATGCAACCGACGACATTGATATTACACCCCAGATTTCTATTTCTACCAACCAAACTTTGTTCATAGTTTGTTATGATTTTAATGTTTAAAATGAATAGGTATAAAGCTACAATATGTAATTTTAAAATTTTTATTTTTAAATCTATATTTTGTTATTTTGTTGTTTTTTTTCTGTTTTTTTCTCAATTGAATTATTAATTTATCATTCACAAAGAGAGAATTTAATCAATTAACTTTATAAACTCCCACAATTAAAAAACTAAACAAAAAACAAAAACAAAATAACTAAAAAACACATAAAAAATAACTTAAACCCACATTAAAAAAAACTAAAAAAATAAATTAATTAAAATCATTATTTAACTGTTTTTATGTTTCTCGATTTTTTCATTAAATATGCATATAAATTCTTTTTACTTGATCTAACTTTTTATTTTTTTCCGAAGTTGTCAATCATTATTTTTTTATATATTATTTAAAATATTATTTATTATACTTACATTAAAAAAGTGTAGTCGTTTTTTTGTCCTTTGAAAACTTTAAAAAAAATTTTTCAATTTATTTTTTGTGTAATGATTTTAAGTTTTAAAACTAATAGCGTTTTTTGAATCTATTTTTTAGTGATTTTGTTTTCAATTACTTTTAGAAAATTTTGTATTTAAAGAGCAAAGAGAGGTAATAAATGGCAAGTATCTTGCAACCGTAACAATTCCTATAGAATATGAAATATCTTTTGAAATTTATATAACTTCATATTTACAAGTGTGGACAAATGCAATTCATTTTACTAATTCGAGTGACTGTTGTGATTACGGATCCAGAGTTCCAAGTGTATCTTTTAATCCTAATCAAAACACTGCACAAGTTTGCTCATCAGTAAACGGAAATGGTGCTTATTGTATTGCTACGCAATCATTACCATTGATGCAGTGGACTAAGATAATGGTAAAGCAATTTTTGAGTAATGGTGATTATTTTTATTCTGTCTTAGTTAATGATGAGACCGTCCATTCTGTGAAAAACACAAAAGTAAGCTTTTTTGATAACGTCAAGGTTTTGGTCAGCAATCCATGGGTAGTTGCACAACCAGGATACATAAGAAACTTGTATGTACCAAGTATGAAATTTTTTTGTTTTATTTCAACTTTATTTTTTTAGGTTTTTTTATATTAAAGTTCAAAGTCAATTTTCAATTGAAAAAAAAAAAAACTACGACAGGGTAATTTTCACGAGTTATTATTTTTTTTGGGTGTTGTAGATCACTAATAAACTCAAACCATTCACAAATTACATTATGAAAGTTGTTTCTTTATTGATTTATTAAGACTCACTTAATATAACTAAATTTGAAATAAAATGAAAAGTTTAACAACTTGAAAGCATTTTGTTGTAGTGATCTCATTAACTACCGGTGATATTACCTTGAAATTTTTCTAACTTTGGAACTTTAATCTTTAATATAATAAAGTTCCTGTATCAAAATCTTCAGTATAATGAAGATCCTGAATCAAAATTAAAACAGTATTAAACAAAATAAGAATAAAATAAAAGAGTTTTTTTAAAACTAGGCAATCATTTAAAAGAAAAAAAATAAGATGTTTTTCACCATCTTTAGGCAAGTTCTTTTTGTACGATTATCACAATGTTTTAAAATTTATAGAGAACATTAACCAAAAGAAACAGATTCTTTAAATTTTAAAGAAATCATTTGATTAAATTAAGAATCATTTACCACGAGTAGGAATTTCAATCCCGGATATCTTTCTTATTTCCGAGGTTGTGGGATTGAAAAACATAAATTCAGGGATCGAAAAATTTATATAGTATTTACATAGTATTAAATATAATAAAAAGTACATTTTTAACCAAAGATATATTTATTAAATTATTTAAATAATTAATTAATTATTTAATAATAACTGTGTATATGAACAATGACAATGTTCGGAACCTAGGTGATCTAAGCTTTGACAGCCGATTTATATTACAAATAAGTCCAACTTTAATTTAAATTGTTTAAGTGTATTAAAATCTACAATGTTTTGATCTAAGTTATTCCAGCTCTTAATAAAAACTCTTAAGGTTTATTAAGAAATAGTTTCTCCTTAGATTTTAAGTTAACTGTCTATGAAATCTTATGTTGTGACCTCTCGTATATGAAGCAATTAAATCTGATGGGTATTCCAATATTAAATTATCTATTTTTTTTACTATTTTTTAAAGTTGGATTAGGTCATTACATTTGCGTCTTTTTTCAAGAGTAGTTAATTTAAAGTAGGTTAGTCTACTTTCATAGTTTTTCCTTTGATGACATTTTATTCGTGTTGCTTTACGTTGTATCGATTCAATTTTTTTTATCTTGTTTTAAGTAAGGGTACCACACTGAATTTACGTAGTCTAGATACGGTCTTACAAGAGAGGTGTACAATAATTTAGATGCGTTTATGTCTAAGTTTTTCAATGAATGTTTTGTTATTTCTAACATTTTATTAGCTTTACCAGACACATAATTAACTTGACTAAACCATTTTAAGTCGTTTGAAATCATAATTCCTACATCTTTTTCAATTTTGGTTTCTGGTAGATCAACTCTATTTAACACCGAATCATACATTGTGAATATATGCTTAGTATTTTTGCAAGGTATATGCCTGCGTTAACATTTGCTGACATTAAATTTAAATAGCCATAGTTGCGACCATGTCATTAATTTGTTTAGATCTGTTTGAGTCTTTTATATATCAGAAGATGATCTAAATATGTTAACTAGTTTAATATCATCAGCATACATTTTATAGTTCGTTGGTAAGTCGTTTATATAAACAATAAACAAAATCGGACCCAAGACACACCCTTGCGGTACTCCACTTGTAACTGGAGACCAATTTAAAAATTCTTTGTTGCAGAAAACACGTTGCACTCTGTTACATACAAAATTTTTGCACTATATAGTTAATTCCATAACTTTTTAGTTTAAGACACAATCTGTTGCGAGGCACGGAATCGGAAACTTTTTTCATATATATTTTTATAGGAAAATAATATCTTCTGGTAAATCTTCGATTGCTTAAGTTATTAGATCCATAGATTCTCTAAGGTTTGTACAACAGTTTTTTTTTTAGAAAATCCATGTTGTTCCTTGTCAAGAAATTGATATTTACTAAGTGCGACATAAATGTAGCTTTTAAGATACGTTCCATTACTTTACTTATAACTGAAGTAATACTGGTGTAATATAATAAGTAATATAAGTGATACTGGTCGATAACTTGATGGTTCCAATTTATCTCCACTTTTAAATAATGGTGCTAGATTAGCATTTAACAACATCGATGGAATTATTCCTGTGTCATAGTATGACGTGAGAACGCATCTGCGCAACACTTTAAAGGAAATGGATGAACTCCTTTTACTCTTATGTATTTAGTGACTTCACTAACTTCATTAGTGAAAACAAAGAAAAATAGTTATTTAAGGAATGTGCTATTGATAAATAATTTGTTCCAAGTTTGCCGTTTATATTTAATGCGTTAATTCCTTCTTTAACTTTTGATCTTTTGTTTATATATGCATAAATTACTTTTATGCTTTTTTTAACGTTTAAGGCGAGGGTTGTTTCATATATTTTTATTTGGTTCTTGATTTTTTTTTACTTTATTTTTAATTAATTTGTATTCTAATACATAAAACTTTAAAATCTGATGACCGTGACTAAGTGTACCTAAATTATCAAAATGGTTCAAATCAATTATTCTTATGTTTGATTCTGTTAATATTAGGTCAAGAAAATTAGTGGATTTAAATTCATTAATTTGAAAAGTTGGTTTAATTACGTTTTATGTTATAAAACAATCATTTAAGCAATTTTACAACTCTTTAGCAGAAATATTTGAATTATTATTAAGTTTGTCGATGTTTTCCTTATTCCATTTAATAGAAAAGTAGTTAAAATCTTCACATATCAATAGTTCGGAATACTTACTTTTTATCAAAAGATTGTAACTTCGTTTAATTGAATTTATCATTTTTAGATAAGGTTCATAGTCAATTGTGCCTGGCCTATAGATGCATCTGCAAAATATCTTTTCATTGCCAATATGCAGTTATGTTCAAACTTGATCTAAGTCGTCATCACTTAACATTTTATCACAAACTGTAACAGATTTATTACTTTCTTTGACATATATGCATACCCCTCCTCGTTTACCTACTCAATCTTTGCGAAATATATTATTAAACCATATTTCACTATAAAAAAGTATCTGTGAGTGAGATGAGGCTATTTCAGCAATAAATTCATTGTATTTACAATTTAATGATGTAGCATTTGTATACCAACATGATAAAAAACTTTCTTTTACGTCGTTATTATTAACTGGCGGTTTTTTTGTATTCTCAGATAACATTTTTATTGACTCAATTGATTTTAATTCGTAATTTATTTTTTAAATAATTCATTGATGGTTTTTTTGTTCCTGTCCGTTGATTTATGATAATCGATTTTGTTAGTCTTACAGTTTTTGTGTAATTGCTATACAGTGATTTTCACTACTCGATCATATCTTATACTGAAATAAAAATTATTTTAATTTTTTTGTTTTCTTTCAGTGTTCATTTGGTGACATTCTTCTCATAAGAGTTTTGCTTTATGTCTTTCTGCTTCTGTAAAATCAGGATTGATGAATACTTTTGAGAACGAGTCATCGTCTTTTAATTTATTTGATGACTTAAAAACTTTATTTCTTTCATGTTTATCTTTTAAGACAACGACAAAAGATGGTTGATTTTCCTTTCTTATTTTTACCTTGATAATGTGTTCTATATTAACATTTGTATCAATTTTGTAAAAAATATTTATCGCAATTTTTTATCCTCGTCAAACCCATTATCTTTATTTTTATTAGTAGATGCTGCTAAACCAATAATAGTTACATTTTTTTCACGAATTTTTTGTTCATTTGATTTTTTGGCTACTGCATTAATCAGGTTGAGTTGATTAATTGATTTTCTCTTCTGTTTATCTTTAACAACATTAGTCAAAATCATCTTTTTCTAAAGGTGATACTCTTTTTTCTAGAACCTCAAAGTCAACTTTTAATACCATAATATTAAAAGTTTATAAATTTTTTCTCCTCTTCAAAAACACGTCTTATCGCGTTAGAAGCGGCTTATCACGTTAGAAGCGCAATAAGACGTACAATAATCGTACAAATGATAGCCGTTAACATTAAGTTGTTACATGAATGGAAGAAAAACATGTTAATTTAACATTTTAAATAATGTTGTCAGAAATAACATAATGTACTTTGAAATGCGACTTAAAAAAGCACAATGCCTATAAAGCTTCATTGTCCAAAAGGTTACGAATTTTTGTATTGAACAGCCTAGCGGAAGAAAATGCCTGCTCAGCCTCGACATCTCATGGTCATTAGAATTGAATAAGCTTTTTTCAAACAACTGTCACATGTAACATTATTTTCAAATATTTCTTTTTTTAATTTTTGATAACAATGTATCATGTCTAACTGGTTGCATTTCTGATTGTCCTTCTTTAACAAGATGATCAAGTTCCTCTAAAAAAGAAATCTAAAAGCGTTTTTAGATTTCTTTTTTGATGGCTTCTTTAATGCGTTTTTATTGGTAATACTAGGTTGGGTTAGACTTTCAACCTTCACATTATGCACCGACAACATGTGTATATGAACTCTATTTATTAAACCACCTCTATTTTTTAAGATCTTCTTGGAGTTATACACAACGGCAATATACACAACGATATTTGGCCTTTCTAATTCCATTAAAAACATTTGGAAACAACTTAAATTTGTATAATATAACGAATAATATATAAATAAAAACCGTATTATATAATGATGAAAAGTGTGGGTACCGCAAGCATCTAATAACAATATTATTTATTTTAACTTTACAACTTACTAATCTCTCTTTTCATCTTTTTTAAATAAGATAGGGTAGAGCGGAGCATTTTGAAACAGCGAGGCATAACGGAATAGTTATGTCTGTAGCCTCCAAAAGTAATTTTTTTTTAAATTTTTATTTGGTAAAACATTTTAAGTTATTATAATTGTAAAGAAAAACTTAATTTTAGAAATACAAAAATGCATTAAAAGTACCGAAATGAATCAGCAACTTTGCAATAAGCAAAATTTGCGTATTTTCTTAAGCAATACATCGACAAAAGATTTATCTTGGACTATTGTGAATTTGCTTTATTTATTAAAGGTTTATATTTTTAAGACACTATTTTTTATCTGGATTTAAAAAAAATATTTAGAATTGAACTTTTTAAATAGTATTATTTTAAGTAAAATGACTTGTGTGTATTAAGACAGCAAGTTATTTTTATAATTAAGTATATTACTACAATTTCGTGATGCTGTTTACAGTTTGATGATTTTATTTTTAATCAAAAATATTATTATTTTTATTTAGAAAATAAATTTAAGTAATAAATTTAAAGAAGTTCTAATTTTTATAACTTAACCTCAATTATTAATTGTGTTTAATGTAAACAAAGAAGTAAGAAACTATATAATAAAGGTCAATCATCCAAAACGGTATGAAATGCAGTTTTAGCTGTGAGTAAAAAGAAACTTAGAATTAGAAAAGCTACTGATACATATGGTATGTTTAAGTTTGCTCTACATTGACATATTGGTAATAAGCCAGCTTATCAAAAATGTTGCCGAATTGTTTATGGATATTTTTTGTGTGATTTATGTGATCCATAAAATTTTTTTATTTAATTAAAATTTAGTTGTAGTTACCAATTTCATAATACATTGGTTATAGAAGAGCCGAGGTATTTTATGATGAAAAAAAAAGAAAGACACTAAAAAAGTTTGTTTTGACTCTTATTTCTTTTTTGTTGTATATTGGTGTACGGGCGTGTTGTTTCTATGGGTATGTTACTTTTTTGAGAGTTTAATGTCTGAATAAAATTAGGCGATATTTAGCCTTCATTTTTTATCATTTTTAAAGTTTTACAGTTCACAAATAACTGCTGCTTTTTAAATGTCCCGTTTTGCCCCACCCGCTAGCAAAATGTAAAAGTTTTGCTAGTCTACAGTTTTGTTACTTTGGCTATCGTAACTTATTTAAAAAAAAAAATTCTATTTTTTCATTTTTTTATATCAATGAATTATAGAAAATTTATAAAAATTAGTGTTAAATATGATTAGTTTATCCGCAATTAGGATTTGTATCTTAAGTGTCCCTATATGCCCCACTCTACCCTCCCATGCCTATTCTTCCCTCCAAAAAGTTTTAGTAAGTTCGATGAACGTTGCAAACGTTAAAGCACGTTCTATGAACGTTCATAGAACGTTTTTGAACGTTCGTTATGTTCGTTGAACGTTTTATGTTAGCTGGGCTAGTGCATTAAATTTTTAAATTGTGTTTATGTTAACTTACATAATGTATTCCAAAGTTTTTTTTTCAAAGTTAAACCATTTCAATAGTTATTTTATTGTACAACTAAAAATGCAATTACTTTTTGTAATTTCATACTAAATTAAAATTGTTTTATTAGTGCGCATAAATTGTTTTTTAACTAACTTACATGATGTATTGCAAAGTTTTTTTTTCAAAGTTAAACCATTTCAATAGCTATTTTATTGTACAACTAAAAATGCAATTACTTTTTGCAATCTCATACTAAATAAAAATTGTTTTATTAGTGCGCATAAATTGCTTTCATTTTTATATGTTTTTTTATTACGTTTGTTTTGTTCGACCTTATAGAAAATCCCGCAATTGTTTTGGACGATTCCAGTATTTCGAAACTATAGAAAAAAATCCCAGGATTGCAATCGCTAGTAGCTTATTATGAAAAATTATGAAAAAGAGCTTTTCTGATTTAAATATTTTTTTATATATCAGCTTACGAAGCTCCTGCATCTTTTTCGTAGTATAACATTTTCATATGAAAAATTTCAAATAATTATTTAATACATAAAATCATTTGAGTGAAAATTAATGAGTATAATTTTTACTCATTAATTTTTATACTATAAAAGAATATTTTAGAAAGCATAAAAAACAAACAAGTTGTAACAAACTAGGACAGTCAAACAAGATTAATATGATAAAATTTCAAGAACTTAAATGCGTTGAACAAAAATCTTCTCTTAAATGTTTTTTATTACAACAAAAAACAAAATGTCAATATTTCATTTTATTTGCATATTTATTAAGTATACGTTTTGAAACGTTTTTTCTAATATATCGGATCCCTTATAACAGGTTGTTGTTTTTTTAAGGAAGGAGGAGTTTAAAGTTAAAAGTTTTTTTAATCTTTATACAAAAGAAAAATGAGCAAAATTTAATTAACTTTTTTCAAAATTGACTTTTATTTGTTGGAGTACCACCAACTATAAAAGTTTAAAATGTATATATGAATGCCAAAAGCATTTCTTTTTACTCACCTGTGTTATAATAATGTACGATTAGTAAAAATTTGAAACAAACAATTATTTTTTAATGTTATAAGTATTTGAACGGCTTTTTTAAACTTTTACATTAGGGCTTAAAGCCGACACCTACTCGTTTTACAGAGACTTAAGTAATGAAGCCACGTTGTCTATGTCGGACGTTATTAAAAATACTAATACTCTTATTATTGGAGGTATTTTTTCATTTTAATTAAATATGATTTTTTTTTCTATTAATAGTTGTTTTGTATAGTATTTTTCCTTTTTGTTCGAATTTTTATCTTTGATTTAATATTTGTCGTCAATTTTAAAACCTAAATGTTACGAATAATCTTTAAGGTTTTTGCGTAAAGTAATCAATAAACTGAAGGTAATAAATTATCATTAATAGTACGTAGTAAAGTAATCAAAGTAATCAACAGTAGGTTATGAAGTTATCAAAGTAATCAACAGTAAGTAATAAAGTAATCAAAGAATCAACAGTAGGTAATAAAGTAATCAAAGTAATCAACAGTAGGTAATGAAGTAAACAATGTAATCAACAGTAGGTAATGAAGTAATCAAAGTTATCTACAGTAGGTAAAAAGGTAATCAATAAAAATAATAAAGGTAATAAAGCTGTACCATTAATTTGTTGTAAATTTTCAATACAGATAATGCCATTTCGGCAAAACAAATTAATATGTATTCGTATTGGGCTCTGATAAACTAAAACATTATAAATTTAAAAGGTCAAATACTTAGGAAAGAGTTGTCTTAATTGGAATATTGTAGAAATAAATATTTATTAACCAAAGATGGTTTAATTATAAAAACATTTATGATTTGATTAATACAAATAGACAGTCTTACTATACTTTTAACCATAATTTGACTTAATTGATTGCGCTGTTAATGAAAATAATTTTTTTTTTGCTACGATACCATTCTGTACCAATAAATACAACTGGTTCCCTAAATTGAAACACTTTGGTTCGTTAATCAGAACAAGTTGTTGCTTTTTTTTTAAAAAAAAACCTGAGTATAATTAATAAAAATTGATTAAAAATGATTTTTCATCTTTACAGTGAAAATTTAAACAGTTCATTCAAAACTTGAATTAGGATTGAGATTCCCTTGAGAAACTGAAACCCCCTGAAACTGAAAATTGAAAATAACTGAAACTGAAACTGAAAGTCTTGAAACAAAAAATTGCATAAAAGCTTTAACTGATATGACGTTCTTTTAATTTACTGATTAAAAATAATTAATTATTAAATTATTTTTAAGGCTTATAGTTGCACTAAATAATTTTAAATTGCGCTTGAAATATTTCTTCAACCCTTCTATTTTTTTACTGATCAAGTAAGGAAAACTTTATAGTCCCAAGCAAGGCAACTTTGGATTGTTTTGTTGTATCACTGCAATATTATGCTTGCAGCAGCTTATAAGATAAGTATATATTGTTATTTTGCATTTTAAATCCCATCGAGTTAAACAAAAAAAACCGTATAACCTATGGCAGTATAGTTTACCCTGTGCAATCAATATAGTACAAACATAAAATTAGGTCACCAAAAAAAAATGACGCAAAAAAACTTTATATCAATGGTGCACGTTCACTTTTTTAAGAAATATCTTTCAAAACTCGTTAAACCGCAGAAAATATAGCGTTTTTAAAATAAAATACAAAATATAGTCATAACTCAATTTTTTTTAAAAACGAATGTAAGTATTCCAATTGATAACGCTGTTATCAAATGGAACACTTGCATTCAAAATATGAAATATTATTAAGTAAGGTTGTAGATTTATTATAGAATAGAATAAAGTTTGAAAACTATTAACATCTATTAGTTTTGTTTTAACATCTTTAGTCCATGCACTACCAAATAGCGAGTGGATGACAATTATATAAAATAACTCTTTTGTAAAAGTAATCTTTTTTAAATGATACTAGTCTTACTTACGTAAATAGCAAATCGTTTTGATCAAGTTAAAAAATACACATGAACCGAGGTCTTTTTTTAAGATCTTAAAAAAGTAATTAGCCTTTTTTTGATTGACTTATTTAAAATGTGGCACACTTTTAATAACTTACATTTGTTTAATATTATCTGATTAACTATAATATGAACGGTTCATGTGGTTTAATAGGTTGTAGTGAGTTTTAAGTAGATTAAATCAAAGTAAGTTAATATTACAATTAAAAAAAAAGTTATCTTTCTCATCTAAATAAATACAGTTAGAAATTTCCAGATATAAATGTTTCTTTATGTTCTTAGTCACCTATTTTATTATATTATTATATTTTTTAAGTTTCTTATTTAAATCACTTGTAAAGAATCTATATAATAACTAAACCCAATAATTATAGTAGTAGTAGTAGTAGTAGTAGTAGTAGTAGTAGTAGTAGTAGTAGTAGTAGTAGTAGTAGTAGTAGTAGTAGTAGTAGTAGTAGTAGTAGGAGTAGTAGTAGTAGTAGTAGTAGTAGTAGTAGTAGTAGTAGTAGTAGTAGTAGGCCTGGCACGCCAGCGCCTTTGCCAGCGACGGTTGCTCATTGGTTTTTTAAAGGACCAGTATACGCAAGCCAGCACTGGCACAGCAACGTTTCGCTAGCGGCAAGCCAGCAGCAAAATTAGCGCACGTTGCACTAAACGTGCTTGTGTTCTGTGTGAACCTCTGGCGCGGTGTTCGCTCACCCGTAAGTTACTTTATGTTTTTTTTGTATGTTTAAGTTCTGTCTGAACCTCTGGCGCGGTGTTGACTCACCCGTAAGTTGATTTATGTTTGTTTGTGTTCTGTTTATACTCTAATGTAGCGTGAGCTCAGTAACTAACTACTTACTCCAACTAGAAAACCTACACTCACCTTAGACTCCTATATTTTGTTAGATGCAGTGTTTTCCTAATGCACTTCCAAAATATCATGCCTGGTTTTCTCAAAGTACTGTTGCGGGACGGAACTCCTTTTAACTACTCCAAGTCAGGTCAGAATAATCGAGACCAATCTTGCTACTGGTATCACGTAACCCAGTACCACCTGCCACAAGCCCTGCTGCCTGACAGAATGTGCTCTTCTTAGGCAAAGGCTAGGAGAAATAAACTCCGACTAAAAATTCCCCTGCTTTAGGACTCTTGGTTGAGTAAAGGCAAGAGATGGTGTCTTCATAAAAACACTCATCTTGAGTAGATGATAACTGCATCCAGTTAAACATCCCCTGCCTTGGGGCTCTTGGTTGAGTAAAGGCTATAGATGGTGTCTCGATAAAAATACTCATCATAGGCAGATGTTAACTGCATCCAGCTACTGTCTTGTAGAAGGCCTCCTAGCTAAGACTTTAGGGGTAAGCAGAAAAATTCTGCTAACCCTAAACCCTGCCTCGAACCCCTTCTTCATCTATTAGGCTGGCGTAAATTTAACCTGAATTACATTGTTTCCTGCCTAGGATGATGAATGCTGGATCTCTTTGACTCTACCGATAGAATTTTGCTTAAGCCTTCTTGATAATGGCTATGCAACTCTTCCTGTTATCTCCATATGAGGGTACAGCTCTAAAACTCAGTTTAATGGTTCTGAGGCCAGCTGGTAGTAAGGTTTCCCGAACTCTGTGGTAGCTCTCAGAGAGGCTGATTCCATCAACAGCTGCAAAATATCAGAGTATTAACAGTGTTATGTTGCGCATGCATGATGTCCCTGTTAATGCTTTTGGTGTGCATTGTCAAGGCCACATAAGGAGCCCTATGTCACGGCTTAGGGTTAATTAACAGGACTGAGACAACTGCATAGCTCATTGATTAGGAGGCTGTGCTCTATCTATGAATGAGTCAGGTTCTCATTAAACCCAAATCATGACCAAAGTAACCAAAAATTTAAAACCTAAAAAACCATCCCCACCACCTAAATATTTTAATATATTTTTTACAAATAATCGCGTTTTACGAAGCAACTTTCCATCTGTTGAGTCTCCTGCAAAATTCACCAGATTTGCTTGCACTCAGTAAAAAAAATTTAAATTCTGCAATTCCTTCTTCAGATGTCAGTGTTGATGGCTTCTATCCTTTGATTCGTAAAGACTCCAATAGTCACATGCTAGGTTTAGGGGTATACATACGCATTAATTCCCCTATTTGTTGTGAAATCAGGTTCGAATCCTTTGACCATTCGTTTATGTGCTTTCGCGTAGCACCTCCTCACTCTATCACCTTTCTCTTTGTTTTTTATCGTTCTCTTTCTTCCCATGATTGCACTCTCTTAGATGTTATCTCTGATCAAATTGGACATGCCCTCTCTCTTTACCCCTCTGCCAATATTGTTGTTGTTGGTGATTTTAATGCCCATTACACTGAATGGCTTGGCTCTAACACCACTAATCCTGCTGGCACTAAAGCCTTTAACTTCTGCGTTTCTCAATCTCTTACTCAGATAGTTAACTTTGTGACTCGTTTTCCTGACAAACCTAATCATTTACCTTCACCCCTTGACTTATGTCTTGTCTCTGACCCTAGCTTATGTTCAGTTTCTTCCTTTTCTCCCTTAGGTGGTTCTGACCATGCAATGATCTCTATAAATCTTTCTTCTCGTACTTCTTTTTTGGGCTCACCTTATCATCGCACCACCTACTACTACCCTAAAGCTAACTGGGATTTTTTTTGTGATTTTCTTCGTGATGGTCCTTCGGCTAATGTTTTTTCTCACTCAGCTGATAAATGCGCCTCCTACGTAACCTCCTGGATTCAGACTGGAATGAAAGCTTTTATTCCTTCTCGTCGGTTTCAAGTCAAGCCTCATTCTACTCCATGGTATTTTCCTTCTTGTGCGGCTGCTATATCCAATCGTAATCATTTTTTTTCATATTTTTCAAAATAACAACTCTCTTGAGAACAAACGGCTATTTATTATTGCAAAAAATCAATGTAAAAAGGTGCTTTCTGATACTAAACTCCATTATTCTCAGTTCACTAAATCTCGCATCTTATCACAGAAGTTAGGCTCTAAAGACTTTTGGAAAATCTTCAACAGCATTATTAACAAGAGTAGATCTAACATTCCATCTCTCATTCATGGGACTAATCTTATTACCTCTCCCAAGGATAAGGCAGAACTGTTTGCAAAGAACTTTTCTTCTAATTCCACTCTTGAATCTTATGGACATTCTCTTCCTTCCATTCCAGTCAAACAGGTTGACCCATTGTTATACATTCAAATCATTCCG